ATGAAATTATCTCTAATACTATCTATATATATTATCTATGCTTCAAAAGCATGGTTACCATGGCCAGTTGTTTCCAGTTGTGCTGTTTCAACAACTATGTCAAGAAACCCCATGCAGGTGACAAAACACCAGTGCCAGATTAACCATATGGCAGAAGCGGCATATGCCACATGCCCCACGGTTTTCCTTATTTCAGTGCAGGGCCCAACCAAACATAATGCACACTGCACAGCAGGTATACACTTTTAGGTATTACTTGTCATATGATATTATTGTTGATACCCATTGTGTCACTTAATTTTAGTACAAATTATTGATGTATACTTCCTTTTTTTGTAAATACACAAATTTCAAGCAACTTCTCAACACGTACAATACAAAAGGATATGTTTATGTTTTTGAATCTTTCTGAATTCAGTGTTTAAAATGCAGGGGGGGCGCTGTCTTGGGTCCCCGCACTGATAAAATGCCACAGGTGGACAGGCCCCGCGAAATGTTAAAGGTAGGTTACAGTCCCTTCTGCGCATGTCTGTGATTGTTTTTGCCTGGGGACTCCACCGGAAGTTGGGCAACTCGGTTTGTACTCGGTCCAGTCTCATTTCTGGCAATAACACGCGCGTTGTTTTTTTTCGCAAGCGAATGAGTGAAGCTAGAAGTTTCCAAAATATATTGAGCTTTTTTGAGCGACAATCCTTCAAATAACGAGTTTTTGGGGCAACATGACGAGTAGGAAAGAATACCACGCTAGCAGGGATGCTTCCAAAGTGTACCAAAGTGTATCTATTTCATTGTTTTCCTCGATGGAGAGCGTGCCATTTCTGTCTGCGTTTCCCCATGATATACCTACATCCTCAAGCTTCTACTAAAGGTTTTCAAGAAAAGAATCCAAGGACATTTCACCCAACATAGCTGCTATTCACTCCCTTCACTGTGGATACTTCAGTGAAATCGCTTGTTGAAGTCCATCAATCGAGGTTTTAATTAATGACTATAAAATTCTCTTTATTTTCTATTTTAAATTTTAATTATACCGTATCGTTACATACGAACTGTTCTATCTGTTTTATTTACAAACTGAAACCCATATAATTAAGGCCTAAAGATATGATACTTGTGAGTAGGAGTTGTCAATGAAAAAGTGTTAATGAGCAATTTGGAGTCAACATGTTTTGGATGGCTGTTTATATATTATTGTCAGTGAGTGATAAATGATATAAATTCATCTTCTTGACCGTGCTTTACAGTCTTTGACTGTCTTTTCATGGACAACTTGTGCTCACTTAATAGAAACACATAAAAAGTTTCTCTGATCAAAGTATATTTTAATCAAAGCACAGCCCTCGAAAACGAGATCGGCATTTGGCAATGCCGACCTAAATGCCGACCTATCAACCTCCCAGGTCGGCAAAGTTTTGCCGACGTTAATTCAGCAAAAGTAAGAATGTTTGGTGCTGATAGCTGTTAAAAAGTCAGCGATTATAAAATTTGATTCGTAGTTCGATTATCTATAAACACACTTTGCTATAAGGTTTAAAAATTGACGTTTAAAAATTAAATTAAATTAGCTCAGCTAACATTTAGTTTTATTATAAAACATTTTGATCACAGAAACTTATATATGATGTAAACAAACTCAACTAATAATTACGAGTATATTTTTTCACCCTAATTGTGACTAAAAGCTTGCATATAAGAATCTATAATTTAAGAACCTGTTAGGCTAATTTTTTTTATTTTAGACACGCTAAAATAAGAATTTGTTTAGGCTAACATTTCAGGTTCTTATTTTATCACATGAAGACAAATAAAAAATGTATATAAATCAAAGAAAATAAACTCTTCACAAAGTAATGAAAATAATCCAGAATACTGAAAATGTCATTGAGTGCATGTTAGCAGCTTTACAGTATAGCTTTACAGTATAGCTTTACACATAGCTATTAGTTAGATAATTTGTGCACAATTTATATACATGTAAATTATACCCCATGCACATACCAAAAATGAGTCGCTTTTCTTTAAGAATTTAACCTAATTTCCAAGCTCTAATGATCATGTAGTCACTACATGTATTGCCCAAAGGTGGGGTCTGGGGGTTTTAAATCCGAGCTTTCTTTCATCTAGATGGATTGCCTCCTACACAAAGCAATCTGAAACACAACCCAGTTCATTTTGTACTATGATTGCCTGATCTTGTGTCACAAAGAGTGGCACCATCCCATGCATATATATATTGTCAGCACAAGCTGCTATGGCCTGTTTTGTGACATGAAATCAGACAACACAGTAAAACCCTGGTTACCCTGCATATAATAAGAACCTAGATTTTTCCAAGTTAGCCTATCAACAGGTTCTTATGTGAATGGTGCTTACCTGACTGTTGTGTCACAAACTGTAATTATATTTAGTATTTGAGTCATATGCATGCCTATCCCCTTGGATATATGTGTGCAGCCTAATAATAATTGTTTATAAATTATATGTATTATCATATCATAAATCTGTTATAAATCTGTAAATCATTTATATATAATAAATCATATATAAATCTGTTAAGAAAAAGAAAGATTCGTTGATGTAATAAAAATTTTATCAGTGTTTCCTGAGCATTCTGATGAGCTCTGATATAGAGGGAAACAAGCATAATTATATTTAGCAATTGTCCTGTGAAGAGACATGATGAAGTGAACTAACGTGATCACTAGATTGACCAGAATTGTTTAAGTTAATTTAATATTACTGTTAGATCATTCAGTGTCACAAGAATATCATCATTTAGTGTCAATATATATGACAGTAATATCAGTGAATTCATACTTCCAGTTCATAATTTCAAAACATACATACTTATAACACAAAAAAGTTGAATATAATTTTAGCGTCTCGTACTCTCGTCACTGTCAATCTATTGAACTCTTGTTGTTTATAACGAAATCATCTCCATAGCACGCACGAGCTTGAACAAAAGCTCAGTTTATCCAGCTTTTGCACGGTCAAAAATTTCTCCCCCGGCTTTGCCACGAAGACAGGAAGTGCAACCACATTCTCAATCACACTTGTTTCGAATTTCGTCAAGCGAAAAGCTTTCCCCAAGGCCAAGCGATTCTGTCATAATGACAACAACAACACTGGCAACATGTTTGGAGGGATTGATACCGCATTAAATATTTTCATGATGAGACACTCCAAAGGTAAACACAATTATTCGAACTCACACCTTCGGGATTTCGGTTCGCCGCCCCAGCTGTTGTTATAGCAAGTCACACAACGTTCAAAGCGGCCTCTTTATTCACGATGTTTACAGTCAAACAGTTACAGTATAAGATTGTGTTATTGTGTACAAAAATTTCCAGTGTAGAAATGTACAAGAAATGAAGCGAAGTATTGTCAAACATTGCACTCCTCGGTCACAAATTATGTGGAATGTTACTTTCAACTCGTCATATACTTCATCTTATACAATTAATGTGGATCAAAACAAAAAACGTAAACAAAGCCCGCGCATGCGCAGAAGGGACTGTAACCTACCTTTAAAATTCAACTGCATTTTGTCAAGAGTTTTTGATTATTTTGTAAGAAATTTGGCATAAGGGAACTTAGGAAATGATCATAAAATCATAAAGCCACATGACATAAACTAGAAAACACGATGCAAACAACATTTTACAGTAAGAAAATCTTTATAAATTGTATTACAGACATACATGGTCACCCGAGATTATTTCTTAAAAGTGTTTCCAGGTATTTTCTATAGGCTTTTTTGACATACTATGTTTTTTAAACTCATTCTGCCAAAATTTAGTTAAATGCGTCCACGTTTGTTAATTATACAAGAAAAATTTCGCCGCCATATTGGATTTTTGTTGTTTTGATTTCCTGGTCCCCCCAGCCATCATCACGAAATCATTAATTGCACTCCTGGAGAGTGCAATTGACGATAGTAATAGAACGAATTAAGTTGTGCTATTAATTAGTTAGGTAATCGTGCGATGGCGATCGAGTACAATTAGGGATTAATAGTATGAATGATGTTTGGAAATTTTGCAAAAATTGGACGAGCCGCCGGGGTGAGTCCAATTTGGCAAATTTCCAAACATCACGAGTACTATTAATCCCAAATTGTACGAGCAACATCGCATGATTACTTGTTTATTATTAGCGTGACAAAATTGGATACTTCTCAATGTCAACATCATATTCTCTCACCAAAGCCCAGTCCTGCCAGATTATCAACCAAAATTTGGAGCTTTTGTTCGTATTTTCATTTAGTTCTTTTGTTAAAGCAGCATTTGGTGCTTTTGTTCGTATTTTCATCTAGTTCCTCAAGGGCAATTTCATTTCACATTTGTATTTTGTTAAAATACCTTTCCGCCATTTTGTTTGTTTTGAGAAAATCATTAATTCCCAAATTGTACGAGCATCATCGCATGATTACTTGTTTATTATTAGCGTGACAAAATTGGATACTTCTCAATGTCAACATCATATTCTCTCACCAAAGCCCAGTCCTGCCAGATTATCAACCAAAATTTGGAGCTTTTGTTCGTATTTTCATTTAGTTCTTTTGTTAAAGCAGCATTTGGTGCTTTTGTTCGTATTTTCATCTAGTTCCTCAAGGGCAATTTCATTTCACATTTGTATTTTGTTAAAATACCTTTCCGCCATTTTGTTTGTTTTGAGAAAATCATTAATTCCCAAATTGTACGAGCATCATCGCATGATTACTTGTTTATTATTAGCGTGACAAAATTGGATACTTCTCAATGTCAACATCATATTCTCTCACCAAAGCCCAGTCCTGCCAGATTATCAACCAAAATTTGGTGCTTTTGTTCGTATTTTCATTTAGTTCTTTTGTTAAAGCAGCATTTGGTGCTTTAATTAATGATGGTAATAGAACGAATAGGAGTGCATTAATGCCATAATCATACGAGTGATTACAAAATCAACCGACCGCGTAGCGGGAGGTCGATTTGTTAATCACGAGTATGATTATGGCATTTATTATTAGCATGACAAAATTACTGGATGCTGATTGGTTGAGAGGAGTACAATTATTTCATTAATTGTACTGCAGTACAATTAATGATTTCCAAAACAAACAAAATGGCGGAAAGGTATTTTAAACACAAATGTGAAATGAAATTACGCTAGAGGAACTAGATGAAAATACGAACAAAAGCACCAAATTTTGCTTGAACAAAAGAACTAAATGAAAATACAAACAAAAGCACCAAATTTTGGTTGAAAGTCTGGTAGGACTCTGCTTTGGCGAGAGAATATGATGTTGACATTGAGAAGTACGTATCCAATTTTGTCATGCTAATAATAAACAAGTAATCATGCGATGTTGCTCGTACAATTAGGGATTAATAGTACTCGTGATGTTTGGAAATTTGCCAAATTGGACTCGCCCCGGCGGCTCGTCCAATTTTGGCAAAATTTCAAACATCACTCGTACTATTAATCCCTAATTGTACTCGCCATCGCATGATTACCTATACTAATGGTATGACTTAATTCGTTCTATTACTTATTAATTATTTATCTTCTGTAATCAAACTGTTTAAGGGGAAAAAGCACAAAAATACAATTTGTTGAAATTCAATATAATTATGAAATTTTTGTCACGACAATTCTAAGTGAAATAGTACAATTTTGAATTAAATTTATCATATATAATCAAATTAACATATTATTAACTTCCGGGCATTATTTCCGGCATAATCACATGACAACATTGTTTGAATTATTCAACACACAATTGGGAAGCCATGTTTGTATGTTTATAACATGTTCAAAATAGTGAAGTTCTTTAGTTCAGTTAATTATCTGAATCTGATTCAAATATAACCGCTGGTTGTGTCTAGTTCGGTGTCTTCTGCTGGAAGAACAGGGAGGTCATTTTCGTCAGAAAATATATAATTTAACAACCCTCGAAAACGAGATCGGCATTCGGCAATGCCGACCTATAAATGCCGACCTATCAATCTCCCAGCTCGGCAATTTTTTGCCGACCTTAATTCAGCCAAAGTAAGAATCTTTTTTGGTGCTTATAGCTGTTAAAAAGTCAGCGATTATAGAATTCGATACACTTTGGTGTAAGGTTTAAGAATTAACGGGTATTCTATATATATAATCTAGGTAAGACTCTAAAAGAAAAGCCTTCGTGACATTTATACTTTTCAATGATTCGTAAATACGTGATTACTAGTGCAGGCTACTAGTGCTCCAAGACATGGAAACAGATTTTAAAAAATGCCGAGATGTGCCGAGCTAGGTCAGATTTAGGTCGGCATTTTTTTTCCGACCTCAATTTTGACGGTTTTCGAGGGCTGATTTAAAAATTAAAAGGTCAAAATTTTCAAAATTTGTGAATTCCTCCATTTTGAAATTTTTTACAGCAATAAAGAAAATAAAATTCAAAGTTTGTATCCTGAATGCTGATTGGCTAGTTGTAAATACTAGACTGATTTTCATTGGCTGTAGCCAAGAGTGCGATTACAGCTCAGAAAAGGTGCGATTAATGCTCAAATCGCACTCCTGTAAACCAATGAAATTGCAGTATTTGCCACTGATTACAGAAGATAAATAATTAATGAAATAATTGTACTCCTCTCGACCAAGCAGCATCCAGTAATTTTGTCATGCTAATAATAAATGCCATAATCATACGAGTGATTACGAAATTAATCCCCGAACCGACGGCGCGAAGCGCCGTGCGAGGGTACTAATTCTCCCCGGCTATTTACACCCGGGGAAAGTTCTAAAGTTCATCAAATATCGCGGGCGTGGTCACTGTGCGTGGGTGGTCATCCTCACTGATCTCAAAAATATGGCGGACTGTCATGAATAGCGAACACTGTGATTGGTCCAATATAAAGTTTGCATTATAACGACTGCATGACGACAGCGAAATAGCAAACATTTCTTGATTTGATGATTGATAAATTTCTTGCAAATATATTTCATTGTTGCTCGCATTTTTGCAAGATTTTGTCATTTCAAGAAAGAAAGGGCGAAAGAATCGGCTAAAAGAAGGGAGCCGACGTTAACGAAGGTAAGTTTGTTTTAAATATTGATTTTATAATTGCTTTAAAACCCGACGGCCTTTGCGTATATGAAACAACTAAACAAGACAGCATATAATTTCATTGTATCTTTAATATTGATTCCCTTTTTTATTATATTGAATTTTTTAAATAAATAAAAAAGAAAGCAAAGTTATTTGCATGCGAGAATTTGAAATCATTTTATTGCAAACTCAAAGTTTATCGATAAAGCCATTTAATTAAAGGCAGTTTTATAGTTTTATATTAAAGAACACTTTAAATACGTTTTGCGAAGCGTTTGTGGTTGAATTTTACCTTAAATTGAAGCTTATATTACGTATAATATCATACCTAACATATATATGTTGGGAAATTGACAATTTTGTAATTAAAAGTGATATTTTTAGGCGATTTTTCATTTGTAAGAGTATTATTAAAAAATTATCGTGTTACCATAACAACTACTTTAGATACTTCATGTTCGGAAAATATAATGGTTTTATCCAACCTCGTTCCCAGGGCTTTTCCCTTTTTGTCATTGGGAAGGCGGGAAAAGGCCCTGGCACCGGCCGGTCTTCTATGTATTCTGATTGGTCAATGACAAGTACATTATTATGCAAATAATGCAATCTTGGATTAATTTATTCAAACTTTGGGATAAATTAACATTTCATGCAAGGAGTGATTTAATACTTTGTCCGTCTAAGAAATATTTTTGGCAAAATCTGTGGCAAAATGGTTAAATTCGTTAAGATTTATACACAATTTGTCGAAGGTTAGTATTATTGTTTGTTTTAAACTGTGAGAGAAGATTAATTGTGTACTAGAACACACCTCTGAGGCTCTGACCGAGTATTTAGGGCAAAATGTGCCTTCATATTTGGCTTCGTATAGCGTTTTATAATGTTTATATTTATAAAACTAAAGTCTGGGTTATAAACTGAAACATGACCTTTAGTTTTTGATATTCTTCATAGTCGAGTTTAAATTGGCCTAATTTATAGTTAGTTACCACTAGAAATGCGACGATATTTTGTTATATCATATATGCAACAGTGTTTACAACTTTGAATAATATGTGATTTGGTTTTGTTTCAGATACTATTACATGTTGCTTCATTTTACCATAAATTGTGTTAAAAAAGTGATTGCTCATTTGGCTGATGTTACAGTTTTCTGATGTGTTTTGTTTGGATGATATTAGAACAATTTCAATATGAAAGTGCAGGTGTCTTTAGACATGAGCCATAATGTATATATCAAAATGCTGATAAAATCCGTTTCCAGCTTGATTGTATTTGCATTTGTTGTATTTGCATTGTTGCAGACAAAGTTGTGCAATGGTGGGCTTATGTCACCTACTCGTATGTAATTCCATGTGCCTGCATGTACAGTACTTTGATGCCTCAACAGATGCTTCGAATGTGTAATAAAGGGCTGTTCGCAGGAGTTGGGCTGTCTGGCCTTAAATTGCATTGTTTTTATGATATTTTAAGATTGTATTCATATGACTGGACCATCTTGCCATTGCCACAATGTCTGATGTTCAAACAGGCTTTAAAATCAGGTTACAATGCATGCTTGAAAATATGCAACAATTTCACTGCTAATAATATTCCAGAAAATCCTGCCTCTTGGGCAGATCTGGACTGATTTGTCAGAGGGGGTTGGAGGTTTTCTACTTGTGATCAGGCAAGGGGAACTAAGCCAAGGGTGCTGGGTCAGAGTCAAACTCATGCGAACAGCTTCTAAGTCCTAATTATATTGATAAATTATGTACACTTTGGGATGGTAATGCAATTTGTAAAATATTCCACATTTTATTTAATAAAATTTAATTATATACATTGTTTTTGTTGTTTATATTAACACCTTGGACAGTGTATATTTACACCTTTGGACCCTGTAAATAAGTACCTTTGGAGGGTGTACCCATTCTAAGCCAAAGACGTTTAAGAACAATTATCAAGGTATTTGCATGATAAAATATATTTAAAACTGCTCTCCATATACATGTAATGCATGGTTCAATTCTTGCTTTTACCAAGTAAACCCAGGGATTTTCAATGTCCCCCTCCTCCTGTAGAATTCACTTGAAGTGACTGGGGCAAGGTAGCTATAAGTATAAGTATAAGTAGTTATATTAATTTAATTAAAGTCAATTAAAATTTACAAATTGAGCTTTTTGAATATAGACCATTGCAAATTTTTTTTTAATTTGTTTAACCTTTATAGTGGCAATGTCCCTACTTTAGTATATTACTCCGTCTGGTGCCAGACAATTTTACTCAAGGGCAGAATGTAGACTTGCCACAAGTCAACCTCGAACGAAACGTCGGCTCACACTCGCTGCTTGCGTTTCGTTCGAGGTCGACTTGTGGCAAGTCTAGGCAGAATGCTGCCACTCAATGAGTTAATATATTCTCAGAACAATTACCATCAAATTTAATCTATTTTGCTGGCAAAATTGCCTTGGAGGGGGTCCTTGATTTGTTGAGTATTTGTTGTAATATAGGTAATATAATTCTAAGACAAATCGTCCAAAGGAAGCAATCATTCTAGCTCTTGTAGTGTATGTTGCAACAGGGATGGATTTACTGGGGGGGGGGTGGGGGGCTGTGTACTCCCCTAGCCCTGGCCAGAGGGGGTGCAGCGGGGTTCTATTTTTCATGATAAAAATTCAAAAAATTATTACAGGCAAAATGAGATACAGTAATTTGAGTAATAACATGATGATAAGCGAGCTGTGAACAACAATTACAATTCAAATACAGTAGTAAAGCAAGACTTTGCAGTAGTGAAGCAAGTTGATGGGCGGGCGGCACACATGACCAACACAACTCGGCACCAGAGTTGGCAGAGCACCCCACCCCCCTACCAGATCATGCTGGATCCATCCCTGTGTTGCAAAATGTATTTTCTTCATAGTCAGGCATTCACATGAATGAAGATTAGAATTGCATCATGTTATATAGTCTTAAATATTTAGGAGTGGTCTCCATTATTAAATTAAGAGATTAAAAAGGGGTCCCATGACATTTTGACATAAGAATCTCCCACCCCACCTTAGGGTATAATGAATGGTCACTTAAAGTACATGCCATCTTCTAACTGGTTGGGCACCTTGCCCCTTTTGTGATGGAAAATCTATTCCCTACCTTTATCCCCTGGGACAAAAAATTCAAATCAACTCTCCACCCTGATAATGTGCAGATGGTAACAGCAAGAATTGAAGCAAGCAAGCTTTACTGGAGTACATACTATTACTAGGAAGCATAAATTCACACATGCTAATTTGCTAGTCATGATTTTAAACGTAATATTTCTTGTCTCATATAGAATTCTTAAGGTCTAGTTTGCATTTTACTGGAAGCAAACTGAGATGCATATCCAATATTTGGGTCATATCACTCATATGTCAGTTTTGCAGCTTGCCAGCTTCAACAACATTTGGCT